GTCGTAGGCGTGCGGGCGCAGTTCGCTTTGCCGCGCATTGGGCCTCGTGGTGCGACACCTTGCCCGTCATCCATGCCCGTGCCCCGGCTGCGCGGACCGGCTGCTTGGTGCCCTCCGCGGCGACAGCGCCCTCCCCTCGACGGCAGCCGCCGTCCTTGTGCAGGCGCATCTGCGCGCTCTCAGCTGTGACACTCCTGCATGACTGGGCAGCCGTATGCGCCGGCACTGCTGCCGCACCCCCTCCCTAGCGCGTGGGAGAATCAGAAGCCTGCCGCGATCCTTGGGCTTCCAAGGGTTGGCAGCGCCTCGCTGGCCGCGCCTGCGATGAGCGCGCCTATGAGACGCACCTTACTGACCTCACGCCCGCGTCTCGAGCACTGCTGTTGTCGCAGGCCGGGCCCTTCGCCGCCCGTCCCTTGAATATCCTTTCCACCCGCGACGAAATCTCCATAAAAACTTGGTCCGAGTTGCCCGATTCACCCATCTATTAGGACCCAGCGCGCAGTTCCGGGTCCCCCTGCTGCGCCGCCTGCGGTTTCTCCTCCCCCTTTCGCCGCGCAGATGCCGCTGTCATGGTGAGCTTGATCCACTCGTCGACCACCGCTCAGCCTGTGCTACCACGGGTGTCCTCGCCACGCGCGCGCTGCCCCTTGAGCATGCCGTCGCGCGAGTCTGTCGTGAGGCCGGCGCCCGGGTCGCCCGCCACGTCCGGCTTGCGGACATGAACCTCGATGTGCCGGTCTCCGCGCATTTTCGTCGTCACCAACGGCCTCCCTCTGTGGCATGGCTCACAGCTCGCCCTGGACGCCACCATCGTGCCCCCTCACACGGCGCTGTTGTTGGGCTTGAGGTTGGCGGCAGGTTCAGCTGCTGCGCTTCCTCGCGCGACACCCGGCCGCCGCCATCCCTGCGCACTTGCGGCCCTCCGCAACTGTCGCCTGGATCTCGCGCTGGTCGGGGCTCTTGGCTGTCGCCTCCCAGCGCGCCTACGCGGCCTCACTCCTCGAGCTGCCGCCTGCCGCCGAGCTCGGCGAGGGACCCGTACCAGAGCTGCACGAGGTCTTGGCCGACTCACGCGGCGACCAGCAGTAGGCAGTAGGTTGCTAATTGTAGACGGAGCTGGGACTCCTCTCTCAAGCGCAAAAAGGCGCCTGGCAAAAAAAAAGAAAGCAACCCCACCGTTTGTAGCCGGCAGGTGCACAGGGACCGCTTTTTTTGGTCGTTGGATGTGTTTGGGTCTGAGCACGCACACATTCCCCCGGCACGGCAGATCAATCCGCACGCATGCATGCTCACTCCTTTGTTCACTCTTCGAACTGCCCATCGCTGACTCGTCCGACCAATGCCGACTCCATCGATGGCACAAAATCTTCGCCACGTGACCTCTTTGCGGGAGTGGCGCGCAGTGGGGCACCCTCAGAACACGGCTGAAGCCGAGACTCATGTGCAAGCAGAAAAACGGGGTGTTTTTTGCCACTTCCCAGTTCTTCCGGTCAGCCCCCGACCAGGTGAGCAAGCGTCATTTTCCACACGCTCTTTGCCGGACCGAGTAGAACGTAGCAGCCTGCAGCATGGAAACGTGAGACGGTCGACGTTTCCAGCAACGTCCTCCTTTTATCGCAGCAGCCCAGCGCGTGCGTCAGGATCGGTGTGGAGAGCTGCTCCTATGCATCCCCAGCCAGGTAAATCCGTCGAAGCCCCCAAACACCCAGAAGGGGAGAGGCACTTGACAGCACCAGACTGGGTTAACACACTTGGCCTTGAAAGTTTGATGCGTTCCAGGCCTGCAGACCTGGAGGCTGACGGACCTTGCAGGTTTCGGCCCGAGGCGGTGTGCAATTTTTCAAGGGCACACAAGCGCACTCACAAGCGCGACATTTTGCCAGCTTGCAAGATTTATTTGGCGAGTCCGAATTTAGGACGTGGAATTACTTGGCAATTTGGAGCCGAAAGATGCGCGCCAAAAAAGGACAAAAAACGCACACTCGCGGAACGATTTTTGCATGTTAACCGGGCGAATTGTATAGGCTGGGAGTCTCAAAAGCGGTGACAAAGCCGGAAAAAACCGAAGATGAAGAGGACCTTCGCGGTTTGAAAGGCACAAATTACTTAAATGAGAAGCATGTCCGTGGTACAATCCAGGATTTCAGGGGTCAGGTGGCAACCAATTTTTGCCAGTGTTCCCCGCGGCGCCATTCCTGCACAGGCTGAAGCTCTCAAACGACACCGCTTGTGCATCGCTGTGACGTTCTCAGTTGAGGTTTGTCACCTGAGCTTACGCCAGCGTGTAGTAGATTAATATTTTCCCAGACCGCAGAATTTGTCGGCGTGCTTTTGCACGCTTGAGGTTGGTGAGTGCGGCAAAGAGCTGACCTCCTGCAGGCCAGCGTCACGCATGCACACCAGCACACAGCAGATCACACCATCATAGCTTGGTAACCTCGCGCCTGGCAGACCTGCCCGCTTCAGGGATTTTGTCGCTCGGGTTGCCGGCCTTTGTGATGCTAGTCGGCTCCTTCTGTGCAGCCATTGGCCTCAGCTCTCGAACATTTTCGCACCCAAGGGCTTACTAGGAAGTCGTGGGGACAGAGTGGATGCCAAGGCCGACATGCGGCTGCAGGCTCAAGACTGCAGTGTTGCATGGTGTATGCTGCGCGCGGACGCCCTCCGGAGACAGAGCAGGTGATCTTGCACCGCCAGAAGTTGACCTAACGACATGGGTTTTTGGACAGGCGCACAACCGTGTCACGATGCTGTCTCTTGTGTTGGAAAAAAAACTCACGACATGTAGGTACAAAAGTCAAGCTGCTTGGGACAAAGCTTCCATGCGGTCATACTTTTCGATCTGGAGGCAAGACATGCTACACCAACAAGTGATGACCACGCCGCAACGCCACAGTAAGTATGAGTTGCAGTGTAGGAGTTGCGCTTCACTCCTTTGCTGAGAAGGAGATGATGCCCGAAACGTTGTGGGCAGCCATCGAAGCTGTGCTGGCGGCTTACATTTACTGCATCTTTCTGCGTCGGTAAAGTGACTGTACATCACTGGTCCAGGTGTGGAGGGGGCATTGTTTGCTTTGTGGTTGGCCAAGACTGCAGTGCGAGTTGCTACGCACGAAGTGTCGCACTCTTGGGGTCCGAACTTGTGTGCTTCCTTCAAGCGTTGAGGTCATGCCAGAAGAAAATTCTGTTTCTAGGCTTGGGAAACGTGACCGTGTGTGTTACATCAACTCCTTCTGTCATGTCGGTGGGCAGGCATGGCTTTTGTCCTCGGTTGATGGCAGCCTTACACGGGGAGGCGTCGACATAATGCGACTGACAGCTGACAAATGAGTGGGATCTGGAGAGGCATGCTGTTGGCATGTCGACGCCCACCTGAATGTTCTGCGGTCGGGCCCCGAGCAACAAGCTGGATCAATCAGGTATGCAGCTGGCAGACTGAGGCCTGGATCCATGAAAAGCCACCCCAGCACCAGCATCGCCGTGGCAGAGGTCGTTTTCGTGCGGCAAGCCTGGCATGTGTTATGGGACATCTGCAAGAAACGTCCAGAGGATCTGGAGCACTCGGAACTGGTCGCAGGACTTTCCACTAATCCACTCACTCACTCAGCAGGCTGCGGCGAGACTTTGACAAATTTCCAGCTTTGTTTTAGGAGCGGATGACATGCTGGAGCTTCGGGCGATGTCCTCGGAAAATCCTCAAATCGATGTGTGATCATGTGTGCTTAGCTTGCGCGTCGTGGCGCGCTGACTTGTTTGTATGTCGAGGCTTTACAAGCTTTGGCTTGCACGGCAGATCAGCACTATGCCTTGAGAACTGCCCTCAAGGACGGTGCGAAAAGATTTGCCTCCGGCTCCAGATTTTCGAGGTGTAGCCGTGTGACCAGGCATTGATTGATGGGCAGGAACATCCGCAAGTGGTCCAGAACTAAGACTTGTCGAGCGTTGTGAAGCTTGCACGATCGCCTCGTTTTAGGTTGTATCTGGTAGGCGTGGCCGTGGAAAGCTTGCTTCCCAGCAACCACGCTGTTTGCACGGGCATTCCGAGTTGAGCGGTAAAATTATCATGCTATTCTTGCGTGGCTCGGCGCAGCTACATTTCGTGGCTCAGCAGGCAGAGGCCAAGGGACATTAAGAGCACAAGGCTGAGATGGCGGAGGCTACACCAGTCGTGTCCAATCCAGAGGGGGACTTCAACCACGCCGCTCTGATGATGGGCATCTCGGGGATCTTGGAAGGCCGGGACCTTCGCAGCTTCTGCATGAAGGACATGTGGGGGGCCCTGGAGGAGCGGCTCGGCATCTCATCCGCAGAACTTCAAAACAGGAAGTCAGAGGTTCTGGAGTTGGTGCAAGCAGAGGTCCAGCGGATCATGGACCTGGAGAACATGCCATCTAAGCCATCCTCCAAGAATGCGAAGAGCATCGGCAAGAAGCGAAAGAACGTCGAGAACCTGGATTGGCGAAGCTTGCTCGAAAAACGCGAAAGGAAGCTGGGAAAAACTGCACAAAAGATGGGCCAGGCGTCTGCTGAGTCGGACTCTCGACCTGATGCCGAGCAGATGCCTGAGAGCCTGGAAGAATCTTACAAGGTCAACATGAGCACCCCCTTGAACGTTACCATTGAAGACAATGCCATGCAGCTGTCGCCGAAAACCTTTCCCAGCGGCACTCATGGATTCCATGCTCTGCAGAAGCTGACAGTGACTCTCGATGGCAAGCCGTGCAGCCTCATATGCCAAGTCAGCTGTGCAATTGTCCCGGATAAATCCGCCTGAGCTCAGAGGCTACATGATGTGAGGCGCTTTCGGCGAAGGGCAATGCGAAGATACAGATCTGTGAATGAAGAACACACTTCGTCCATTGTCATGGGGCTTCAGACCAGGGGTTTGAAGGGGGCCTTGGGGCAGAAGGCTGGTCGGATGAAAAAGCGCCCGTCACCAGCACGGTACTCTGTTCCCTGCATGGGTCGCGACGCTGACGAGTTCGAGGTCAACCGTTGTGGGCTTGATCATTGCGGGGGTGATTGCCAGGTGCGTGACGGTGAAACGGTATAAAAACCAATTCGCTTGTCTTCGACAGGAGCAGTTTCACTTCTGTCATCGTTGCGGCCCCATGTCCCGACAATGTCCGGCACTGAGGCATGGGTTCTCAATCTTCCAATCTTACACGCAAGAGAAACAGCTACCACACATTGTGAGGTGTCGGAACTGCTGCTGTCATGCCGCGAGTGTCTTAGCTAGTCGCCTGAAAGCCGTCGCCTGCACGCAGACGAGTTGCTCAGGCCGTGGGCTGCAAGCGCTAGGCATAGGCTGGGACTCCTTGAGTCAGGATCATCGAAGCATGGAAGATGCAAGGCTGCATCGCATTGGGCGCTCATGGTTTCTGCGCGATGGGAGCTTAGTCTCGTCGCCGTCGCATTTTCTAGTCCCCGCCATGCCGTCGAATGCGTGGCTGTTGCAGGCATGGCCTAGATTCCGGTTCGGGCCCGAGCATGTGCGCACTACGTGCCTCGTTTCGTAGAAGCTCAGAGCAGATAGCGAGGCTGTCGGGTTCGCAAGTAGTTGCCGTCAGGCTGTGAAGCGGTGCAAGTGGTGGTGGTCAGGGCTGAGAACGCCCACCCACTGTTCGCACCTAAGTTGTGGGGGCTGCAAGCTTTCGTGCCCATGGCGAGCCTTTGAGTGCTGTCGATGCCAACTTCTGCTTGATTTGTGTAGCCGACTGGCTCGTGCAGCTTTTCTGCAACTCTTGGCCCTTAAACGACGGAGCCATGCTCGCAAGGCAAGCATGTCGAAAAAAGCAGTGCTGCCGTTCAACTAAGCCTTAGTTCAACCTGCAGGCAGCATCGAGGCCTCGCTGCGCTCAACGTGGAGCCGCCCAACATCCGGCTCTTGAGGTTCTTGTGCATCTTTCATCACTCTAGTTGAACAGTTGTAGTGCTACAATCGCGAGCTTTGTTCGGAAGGCACCTTGTGATAGTCTCTGCCTCCCCAGGAAGCTGTCTGCGATTCACTCCGTGGAGGGCACCTTGCCGCAGATGCCTGTGAACCGCCCTGTCGCAGCAAGGGCGGCAATGCATTGCGAACTTTCTCGAGAAGGCAAAGCCGACAAGGGCCCGACAAGGGATCAGAATGCCACGCAGTCCGCAGGCATTAACGGCACTGAAGGTCGTTTGCCTCATGAAGCGGGCAGTCCCGTGGCAACCACAGAGCTTGCTGCCCTGCCAATTCGAAGTGCAGGAGCAAGTTGACTTCGCACACGCTTGAGTCTTTGTGTTGTTTCGTTCAAGGATGCTTACATGCTCGTGTGTGTCTGTGTGTGTGTGTGGCCGGCCATTCTGGAAAATCCCAGTTGGCAGAAATGCATGAATTCTCAACTTGCTCTCAGTCCCTGCCGTTTATGCCTTGGCAACGAATGTGTGGCAGCTCTCGAAACATCCGCTCGGGCTGAGAGCAAAAGTTCTCACAGTTTTAGATTCACTTTTCGGAAAGAGTTGGCATGGCAGCACTAGACATGTGGCCAGGCCAGTGTTTTGAGGCAGCCTGCCGGTACTTATTCCACGCCTGACCGACTGACCTCTTTGGAGAGCGAGGATGGAAGTGTCACTGGACACGGCCCTGTGGCGTGAGTATCTCCAATGGCAAGCAACCGAACTTTGTGTACCTTTCCCCCGGTGTCGTGCGGAACAACGGCCGCGAGGCTCCGGGGTTTGTGATTTGAATTCGCATAGTCTTGTGTGGAATAATCTCCGTCAGCTGCCATCGGGGTCATGAACGGCCGGTTTGGGTTCTCCTGCAGCTTCCAAAGGGAGCTTGGAAGTACATCCAGACTGAAGGTCCCACTTGTTGGCCGTGCTGACAGGCCTCGCGTGCGACGGAGATCTTCTGCAGCGGTGGAAGTCGGAGGCAAGATCATTCATGCAGAATGTGTGGCCAAAGCCTTGAAGATGTATTCTTTGCAAGCCAGCAAGATGACAGTTGAAAATCTGAGCTCAGGGCGACTTCGCACGCTGCCAAGACTGCCGGATGAGGAAGGCTTGTGTTTTATACTATGTACTATTGTCGGCGGAACGAAGCTGTGCCTGGATTCCTGGCTGAATGTTTTTTATGATGTGCTGACAGGGTGCATTTGATGATTGTATCAAATCGTTGGTGCAATGATTGAAGGCAGCATTCACAGCCAAGCTGTAAGCTGTGTCAGCACACCTGATAGATGCCACAGATCCAGCTCCCGCACAATCGTACTTGTATTTCACCCTCATGTTCGCGAAGGCTTCCGACTTCGGAGCCAAATAGCTGGATTGTGGCTGAATTTCTAGACTGAGAGGCACGACCCTTCTCAGTTAGCACAAGGCCCTCATGCCTAAGGGCGGCCGTTTCTAGTTTGCTCGTCGAGGCCTGAAGCGCCCGTCGGACGAGCAGTCCAAACCCTACTTCGATCGCGCTGATGTCTGCAAATGCGTCTCGATTCTAGAGAGTCTCTCGATTCTGTCACTGTTCTTCTCAGTCGTTAGTTGAAGTCGCAAAGCTGAGCAAAGCAGTGCCTGGAGGCTTTCTGCTTTCTCTGCTATGGGCCATCGTGTGCTGCTCGTAATGGACGAGGCCTGATCTGCATTCTGTTAGCGGCCGGAGTCACCACGAATGGCCACGTGCAAGCTGAAACCTAACTAAGTCTCGATGTTTCTCCTTAAGTCTCGCTTATGTCTACCTGTCACTCAAGATCAACTAAAGATGACCCCGCCAGGTGGCAAGTGTGCCAATTACAATCTGGAAATCTCTCGCGTCAGCCTCTTGAAGCGGCTCAGCTTTGCCTGTCAATCCCGATAGCCTCATGCACTTCATGTCGTCCTACCCAGTGCAGTTTTAAGCGTGGGGGAAGAGAGTGAATTGAGAGCAGCAGGAACATTGAATAGGCCGTCAAGGATACAAGAAGTAGATCCGGACTGCACGTGTTCGCAAAGCAGAAGCTTGCGGTAGAGTACCTCGTTCTTTGACTGGGAATGCAGGGGAAGAAGTGGGGTCGCAGTTCTCTTCGAGCTAGGTTCCCTGATTGGGAACTCCCCTGGCTTGGCATCAGGCTAAAGTAAAAGTTGCCCATCGGTGAAGCGTTTTTCCCGGCCGCCTGGTGAGGGAATGAGCCTGTGCTGCCGCGAAAGAAGCCATGCGTCAAGCAACACTTTGCGGCTTCCTGCGACCCGTGTGGAAGACCCATAGCAACCGGAAGGGGGGCACGCTTGCAAAATCATGGGGGGCAGCCCTTCTTCACATCAGTGTTCAGAACAGGAGCATGAGCGGCCTAGGGCTCCGAGTAGAGACTCGCAGTGCGTCTGGGCTCTTCAATGTTGTCGTGTATGTGTCGCGAGCTGGGAGAGAAGGGCGTCAGTCCGTGCTTCGGGCTCAGGTCTGCACCGGTAGAGGCCATGATTCTGGCCGCTAGCCTCAGAGTTTGCATAGCCCATGCCGAAAGCATCAGAAATCATGGCCGCGGCCACGACCATAAAGGCTGGAACAACATCGAGCTGTGAGGGTACCGGTTGTGCTATCGAGTGGCCGCGGCCTCGGACCTATCCATACTCAAACTGTTGTTCCTGCTTCCTGTGTCGACCCGGCATATCAGTGATGCCGAGGAAAGTATTGCTGGATGGCAGCACTTCCAAAGGCATGCGTTCTGCAATGGGCCTTGATTGATGCCCATATGTCGTGTCACCCACACAGGACTGAAGCAGATACGGCTGGTCTTGGAGGACATGTGGACAGATGATTACGAGAAGGGTGGGAACGTGCATCCATCAGGAGCCTGTGCGCTACGGACGTGGATGCCCGGTGGAAGCACTCCTGGCCGGAGCCTGACGGTGACAATGTGCGATGCCATTGCTCATCACGTTCATTGTCAGCCGCTGTAGACTGCATCCGTTTGTCAAGGATTCTCTGCTCTTCCTGGGTGCCGGTGCTGCACCGCACTTAGCTTCTGTGCTTGGTCTGGTTTGGTTCACGCCTCTCTGTTCAACTGCTCGTGGCAAGGACATCCCACTGCATGACATCGAGACATGCTGTGGTTGGCAGCACAGCGCACCTGTGAAGTTTCGAGTATGCCGATACTTCAACGTACGAAAACATAGCCTTATGGGCGTTTTCATCGTTTCGTTGATCCAGATCCACGTGACACGCGGCTCTGGGCGCTGGACTGTCCTGTCGCCACCCCAGTCGGATAGCCAACTGCGCTTGACTGTTCGAGCGGCGTGAGTCGCTGAGGCCATGGTTGCGGGCCATGGTGTTGGTTTCTGAGAATGGTAGCATTGGAGAGTCGGAATAAACGGCAGCCTGACCTGCGTCGCAAGGAGTTCGCCACAGCCGTATCAGCGCTTCTACAGACGCTCCACGCCAAGTTTTTCCTGGTTGTCCCTTCACCGAGAATCGACCAGTGCACGTGCCAAGGCACTACCGCACATCTGCAAGCGATGTCACGAACATGCTGGTGCAAGAGTGAGCCGAATTGAAGCATCGTGCTTTGAACACTGCAGGGTCTCACTGCAGCTCCTCGGATAGAACCTTTGGGCTTCATGCTCGCTCGAGGTACATGCGGGCCATGGTTCTGGTTCCGAGTGAGGCACCAGGACATGATGACGCGACAGTGAGCGGGCCAAGAGCACCGCGAACCACGCTGCAAGATGGATCAGGACCAGGACAGCAACGAAGGCCGTTAGTTGCAGATGCCTTACGCCATCAATTGTGAATGCCGGAGTTTGCATGTGGTGCAGAAGAGTTTTTGCAGCTCCTGCTGTTGCAAAAATGAAGATCGAGTATCGACAAGGATCAAAGGAAAGCGCGACACCGATCACCGGCATGCATTGTCGAGTGCAAGTACAGGAAGGGAGGAACAAGGAAGGCAGGAAGGAAGGAATGAAGGAAGGAATCATGGAATCAAGGGTCAAGGAAGGAGGGAGGAAGGACGAGAACGAAGGCGGTATGCAGGAACCCGGGGCGGCACTAAGAGTCGTGGGCGACTCGAGGAGCACCCCCCTTTCCCCCACCTGGTGGCACTTGGGTCGACATCGTGTCTTTGGGTGGTATCTGCCATCTTTCGTGTCGATTACGACGACGACGACGATGAAAACTACGACTTTTCTACTGCTACTACTGGTTTCGGCATGTATTCGTCAGAGATGAATGACATGCTGGTTGCATGGTGTTACGGTCGTGCGGCGTCCAATGTATATGTCAGCTTTTCCACACCTACGACATGCATCGAACGCTAGTTTGGACATGTTGGGCACCATGCATGGGGTCACGGCATGAGGGTTTCCAATGTGTATGTGAGGTATTCCATGCTTACCACAAGCGTTGACAGCCCGCTTGATCCGCGCTTGTGCCACCGGCCTTCTTCCAGGGATGTGCCTGTGTGCCGTTTATTGCTGCGGCAGCCTAGTTTACATGTGATGCTACTTTATTGGAGGTGGCGTGCTCGCCCTCTGTGCATGGAGCATCGCTCCCTCGGCACTGGCCGCACGGCTTCGCCCCCTTGATGCTGCTTGCGTCTGCCGACTACTTGCTGCATTTTTGGTGCATGCCCGGAATTATAACTATCGTTCAAACCCAATTCATTCCTGGCCCCTTGTATCCTAAAGGCTACGTTTTTACAGTTTTTGAGGGTTGCATGCCGTACACCATGGTTTAACACAGTGACCTGTCTGCATTAGCTAATTCTCCCCCACTTGAACTCTGTGACGGAGGCGGGCGACGTGGGAGGCAGGCCGCACAGTAAGTGCGGGTCGACGCTCACTCACTCACTCACTCACTCACTCACTCACTGACTGACCTTTTAGCTTGAAGGCTTTCATCACGGTCCGCCATGCATGAGCCAAAAACAATCACAAAGCCCGAAAGCAGGTCTACAATCAAACGGTTTCCCAAGATGTGTTAACGCTGAATTCCATCCGGTTGATACTCAGAGGTAGTTTCGAAAGCGTTCACATTGTCGTGGAGACTCAGCTGCGATTCAGGTCTTGGTTTGCATTCTCGAAGCTCCAGAGCCCAAGCCTTAACTGACGTCACTGCGACGTAGTCAGCGAAGCGGGTGGGAACAAACAACTGACGTCACTAGTTGCCGGTCCTGGCCAGAGTTCAGAACAAGTTCTGCTCGAAACAATGTTGCAAGTCTGAGGCTGCTGCCAGGTGACCGTGGGCCAAGATCCTAGCATGTCTTTGCGTTAACCGGCGTTAGCACTGTCGCCCTTGGCGCTTCTCAGGTCTAGCCGCCTGTCACGCTCGCACCTGACAACCTTCGCTTTGGAGCAGGACTGGCCTCTGCTCTGAATTTTAGTGGCTCACACAGCTATTCAGCAAGCTTGTCAGCAGGACTTCCCAGAGTTTAGCCTCGGAAGCGTGCGAGGCGACTGGCTGTGTATGACTGTATGACAGGCTTGCAACGATGCACCTCACGGGAACTCCAAGACGATCCTAGAAGGGTGTGTCGAGTCGCTTGAGCGGACGGCTTTTCATGGCAAGTGTTGTCTCACGTGCGTGCCCACCTCCCGAAATCGTTTACCCGATGCAGCATTGTGCTTTCGACCGGTGTTTGCGCCCTGCAAACAACATACTCCAGTCACAGTGCGGTGGGTGTTCATGACAACTCGTGCTCCTTCCGCAGTGTAGAGCGCATTTTGTGCGCGTCGGGTGGTTCTTGGCGCGGTCTGGAATGATGTCTACTCGTAGAGGAACCGGTTTGTGCTGCGTCCTTGAAAGTAAAGCCGTTCATTGATGAAGAGTTCCGTCGATTTTTCCTTGTCTGCACATTGTCTTGTGTAACGCGCGTATGGATGTAGGAGTTCCAGCGGTCGACTGCTTCGAATTCCCGCCCTTGCCACCCTTTGTTCGTAGAGACAAAGAGACCTGACGGCCGGCACTCGCCCCACTGGGTGGTTTCCTCGCAGGGTTGCGCAACCCTGCATTTCGGGGCGGTGTACCCGGCCGGGCGCAGTCTCCCAGCGTTGGCTGGTAGATGCTGCAGCATGGGGCAAGTGATCCATGCCGCTCCCTACGATTCTTTCCTGCTGACTGCAATGCCTCCGCGCAAAAGGCCTACGTGTCGCACGCATTGTGTGCGATCCGCGTCTACGTGGTCGGGGCTTCGGAAGTGCAAAGCTCAGTGAACGGCATGAGAGAGCTATAATCGTGGGTCGTGGGCATGAAATGAAAGTGATAGGGTCCCCGAATGAATGCGCTCCAAGCTCCCGAGACGAAGTGACCAGGGTGCACAGAAGTCGTGCAAAAGCGCACACCTCTCAAGATCTGTAAGTGGCTTCCCAGGTGAGGCCTTGCAGCAGCTTCTCATCCATCTCAACAGTCCGAGTGTTCCCGAGGCAGGCTTGTGGGGCCTTAAAGCTTGAGTGCATGAGTGCATTGGATGCCGTGGCCAGGCATCCTGTGTAGAGGACGAAGCCAGCTCATTCTTGAGCACACGATCTCAGACTCCACGGCAATCACGTGCCCGACTGTCAGAATTGACCGTCAGCGTAAGGACCTCTAAGCTTGCCTTGCTGTGCCTGGCTGAGTGCATCTTTTGGCCGGTGCCTTGGCTTTGGGAGCATTGTTGGGTTCTGAGCAGATCAGACTGCGTCGTCAGGTCTGACGGCGCCCCTCCTTCGGTTTTGGTCTCGTGCGCCCCAGCTGCGTGCCTGCTGCAACGGTGTCCATCTGGCCCATGCCTGTTGGAGGCTTGGGCTTTCAAGCAATTGCACTGTCGCCAGCGTGAGGCTTACAAGGTGCTAAAAGGAATCTTGCTCCGCACATCGAGCGGCCAATTGCATTTTCGACTCAGATGTCCTGGAGCTCTGATGAGGTGTTGAATCCACAGACAGGCGAAGTTTCGGCTCACGCCTTTGTTTCTCAGCATAGACCTCATGGATGCAGTGTTTGTGCCGGACTTGTTTTGCTTGTTTGAATCAGCTCACGATGTATGTCATGTATGTCACGCAGTGCAAGCGAGCCACTTTCTTGCCCAGGTCGTGATGTGCCAGCCTTACACTTTGCAAGTGAGTCGACAGGAACGGACATGTTTCCAACCTGGAATGTTGAGTTTACATGCAGACTTTGATTCAAACCACGTGCTCGTGGTTGGTTCGCCTCGCACAAGGCTGCGCCCGCTTTGTGGAGCCGGTGCTTCCTTGGAGGTTCGAACGATAAGACCTCAGGACTTGAAACATGTTTTGGCAGGGTGAGGTCAAGGCCCAGTCAAGGCTTCAAAGATGCGGGGCAGAACTCGACAAGCGTATCATGCGCTTCGTTCCGCGCAGCGCGTTTGCCGCTCCACGTCTTGGCTCAAATGCTCTGAGTGCTGGGAGCAAGGAGGGTGTTGGAAGGTGAGAGGCGCTCTGTCGGTGCAGCCCACTTCTGCGAGGAGGTTCCGAGGGTGCAGCACGGTGGCTGGTTTGGCATGATATGTACGCGCAGACTAGATCGACAGGTGCGGAGGCCTGAGCTGAAGTTCTCCCAATGGCCATATAGATGGCCATAGAGAAGGCCAGATGACAGCAGCTTTCCCAGACATGAATCCTGAATTGGGACACCTCCGCTTGAAGGACTATGATGTCTTGGAGCGCCTGGGCGAGGGAGCGTTTGGAAAAGTCTACAAGGCAAGGCACAAGAAGACGGAGGACAGTAGCGACCACATGTCAATCTCGAACCTGGCATGCACTTTCAGTGAGCACAAGCTCTGAGAAACAGGAGTTGGTCGCTGTAAAGCAGATCAAGCTGGGTGCCAAATCCTGGGATGAAGCATGCAAGTCGACAGAGCTGGCGGCTCTGCGACAGTCAGCATCTCAGTTTTACAGGAGTCTATTCGTCCAACTTGCGCAGAGTAGCCGGGTTCAGCAAATCGCCGCTACATTCAGCAAAACGAGTCAGCAACCCGACAGCAACCTGTCACAAACAGGGAGGCTTCGAGTCAGCAGCACGACAGTCGAAAGTCAAAAACAGGCAGGCTGCATTCGGCAAGCATCCGACACGGCAAATAAGATGACGAGCAGACTTCCAGCCGTTTAGGCTTTAGGGGGGCGTGACGTTGCAAGCCAGTTGCAAAAAGGGTTTTTTCCGGGGGCAAGGGGCAACCTCTTCATGTTTGCAATTTCGGGCGGTGGCGCCTCGAACAGTGGCTTTGAGCTTTTCTGAATCCGTCTGCGGTGTTTTTGACTTGTGTCCGGGCTGTTTGCTGACAATGGCCCCGCTGTTTTGACTTTGTTTGCTGACTGTGGCCCTGCCCCCAACTTGGGCCGTGCCTGTCAAGGTTACGCCATCCTTTCATTGTCCGACTCAAAGAGCTTTTGCGCAACCAGCTGGACGGAAGTTTGCGGCTGGGTCGCAGACATTCTGGGGGTTTCAAAGCGTGCCAAGAGCGGTGCGTGGAGCCAGAGGTCCAAGTGATGCCTTGCACGTGCAAAGGTACTACATCTTTGAGTACATCGACAGCGATCTTTGCCGGCTCGTCAGGCAAGCGATGTGGCAAAAAAGAGCTGGTAGTTGCCATTATCCGGTATACGCAGATGGGAGGGTTTGTCGTGTTGGAAGCCGGCGCAGGGCGAACCCATCTGGCCTGGACGAAACCTTTGCCGCCGGTTTGGCCCGGCAGCTTTTTGCAGGCGCAGCTGTTCCAATGCACTCCTCTTCTAAACTCGGCTTCAAGCCGACCACCCTTTCTTTTTGTAGAGCGGTCCCATGTCGAGTTCCATGTCGAGCGGAGTCTGTGTCAGAAATTCTTGTGTTGCAATCGTCAAGCCCGACAGTGCGCCGCTGTGCATGTTAGGCTTGCCAAAAACTGAGTCCAATTCATCTTGGCATTGCTGTTCAAAGAAATCCAAGACGGAGATGGGTATTGAGCTTCTGCACTTGTTCAGCGTGGAATTGGTCAACGTCATGGTTGCAGCTGTGATGCCTCCTTTGGCCAGGTCTCACGCATATTCACCAACACAATTTCTTTCATCGCTCCTTGATGCAGAAGGATACACGTTTGAACCTGTATTTCATGATGGTGATGCCAAACGCGACTAAGGTGACATCAAGCCCGAGAATGTTCTCTATGAGACGAAGAGGGAAGTTGTTCGAATAGCCGACTTCGGCGAATCCCGGTCTCTTCGAGCAAGGCAGGGCCATCGGAAGAAGTGTCTAGCTCGCGCTTCTGGCTTTCGGCTGTGGCCTTGGCATTTGGCAGGCCACCCTTTACGGACTACGTGGGTACGCGCTGGTACCGAGCTCCGGAGTGTTTGCTGAGAGATCGGGGCTATTCCTCACCAGTCGTGGCATGTCTGCACGAAGACAGCATAGCAGTGCCACGGTCACGGCTCTGGAAGGATCGCATGAACAGCGACCTGAAATGGTAAGAACGTGCAGCAGCTGCTGTGCTGAGGATGTTTGGTCTTCGGGTTTGGTTTTCGCTGAGCTTCTGCGTGGGTCTCCCGTCTTCATGGGATCCTCGAGCATGGACCAGCTATACAAGATCTTCTCAGTGATTCAGCTGCACTTTGCAAGCTTGAGTCGATTTGAGTCAAAACACTGTGCGGCTCGTCAAGGTCCTCGGACAGCCAATATCTGACTGGCCTGACAGGGGCTTAGTACAAAGTAACCCCGACTGGTATTGCCGTAGACGAGCCGTCCTGCGCCTTGTGGCTGAGGAATTCACTCGTCTGGCAGAGGCCTGCCGGTTTCGAGTGCCATCATCATCAGGTGCTGGGCTGCAGTCTGGCTCTCAGCAATCGGAACATGTGACATGCTGGCAGGAGGGCTTTTGACAAAGCTGCATAAGAACTAGGAGCAATCATGAAGTTGAAAGGACATGAATCCCAGCATAGTCATGGCAAGCCCATGCACGTGAACGAAACGTGTCAGGAAAGCGTTTACGTCTGCTGGGGGAGGGAAGCTGTGCGAGTCATACGAAATACTGAACAACTGCCTGACACACTGCGGATAACGGGCTCTTCGAGCGCTCTGCTGGGAAAGGCTTGACGGTGTTTGGCTCGGCATGGCCTGTTTGGATTTTCTTGGTGTGGCTTTACGTTTTGGCCGGGTTTGGTTTTTCTCGCTTTGCCTCGGCTTGTCGGCATCCCGGCTCTTTGCTTCTTCTCCCTGCTGACTGACTAGCGAGCGGCGTGTGCTCTGTCTTTACAAGTGTCTGAAGTGTCGTGCTGGGTGTTCCTCGTGCCACGATACCGTCAAAGCTTCTAGACGGAACGCGAACACAAAAAGAGAGCAGAGAGCAGACAAAGCCTGCAATGCCATGCACGCCCAGCAAGGTCCGTGATCCCTCGAGCTTCCAGCCGCCCGCAACTCAAGAGCATCGACATTCTCGAAAGCCTGAAGCCTCGCACGCAGAGATTGCAGGTGCCATTGCTGTTCTTACAGAGATTCTCTTACTAAACCCACGGCGCCGACCCATGGCTAGGAAGGCCGGCTGCAGATAGCTCTCCTCATGCACTGCGCTTCGACAAGAAACGCACCGGGCAGGTTCTGGAGCACGGATTCTTTTCCATACTTCCTCCAATGGACCTGGACCGACTGGATACCAGTCGCTCCACGGCAGCCTGGCAGCATTGTTGGATCTGATGGTTCTTCCGAGGGGCTATCTGTTTACATCACAAGGCCAGGCATGGGGGGTGATTGACAAATCATGCCCAGCGATTTGGCAACTCAGGGTGGCAATTCTGCTGCCGCCCTTTCAGCAGCATTCTTGTCAGAGCGCTGCGATTCTCGCCACTCCTTCCAGATGAACGAGGCTGGTTGTGACGCATGCTGGTGACGGAGCCAAAAGGATTAAGAGATTATGAGAGCCGCAGAGGCACCACCGACCGGATCTGGAACGGCACAGGCCTTGAAGAGGGAGGTTTCAACTCATGTCGGCTCCTACAGTAAGGGCTCCGGATTCGAAGGGCGATCTTTCCGACCTCGAGGCTTCTCGCCCGGAAACTCCAGTTTTGCCTCCGCCTGCGCCTGCTCCGCCACCCAGCCGCCCGAAGAGCGAGGCGAGGCGTCCGTCTCTCGGACGGTGCTGCGGTGGTGGATCGCACGATGCAGGTCTGTGTGGACGATGTGGATCTGGATGCAGAGCTGGATAAGTCAAGATCTCAGATCCCCATGGCAACATCCCGGTGCGCAAGCACGCAGTCGCACAGTCGCTCAGCAATTTCAGGATCCTTGGAGACGCACCGCACAGGCATGAGGCAGCCTGGGCTTGCAGGAGCAACTGGAGCCATGCAAACACAACTTGTGGGAACAGGACCCGGAGGTGATCGACCCCCAAGACTTTGCGCTGCGTGCAGCTGGCAGCAATGCCTCGTACTCAGGGATGGGTGCGTTTCATTAATGCCCGCTTTCGCTTTCTCTGAGGACAGCTTCGTCCTGGAACCAGAGGCGAGCCCGGTGCCTTTCAGCCGTGGCCCCGATGTGAGCGTGACAGGGCGGCTCTCGAACAGAGAACATAACTCGGCACCGTTACTTTCCGCGTACGCCGAGGCACCGAACGCGAGCGGGCAGGTGGCTTTCACTTAATTGCTGTTGTTCTCGTGCTCTCTCTGTTGGCAGGATGCAAGATGCTTGTATACTCCTTTTTGACGAGGCTTCCCAGACATTCCGCCACTTCACATGGGCAGTGCTTCTATGGCCAACTCACGCGCAGCCTCACCGGATTCGCGAGGCCGGCAGCGCGAGCGAGTGCCGGAAAGAGTGGCAGTCGTGAAGCTCACGTTCCGGTCTTTTCTGTTGATCAGGTGACATCATGGATGCCCTGCTCAATGACCTGAATGACCTGGGCGTTGGTGCCGGTCTGAGTTCGAGGGTACCCTGTGTTTGCGATTTGTCAACTTCCATCTCGGCCCTGTGGATCTCCAGGAGAGGACTTAGCGCCCAATTCGGCACGGCTTTCGCAAAGCCTGTCACCACCTGCTCCTTACGGCATTGGCTTGGCCCGGGCCTGGGTGAGGCCTTCAGTGCGGGGGTTCCTTTCCAGTTTTTTTTGGTCCAAGGATGTGGAAAGCTCGGCCTCGACGTGGAGCCCTGAAGAGTGCATGGAGCTCCGTCGGCTGGTAACTTTGCAATACTTTCGCCAGATCTTCACAGCAAATAGCATGGCTTCGAACACTTTTGCTTCAAGCTGGCGGATCAAGGTAAAGCGCGTCGTCCGATCTGGCACCTCCGACAAAGAGCAAATCTGGCTTCAGGTGCGATGGCATCGTGCGGCATTGCATGATGTCATGTGGCTCACAAACGAGCGAATGAGGTGAGCAGGGAGATGGGCGGACGCTACAGTGCTCGTGAGTGTAAGCTCCAGTACGCACGAGATTACAAGGCAGCGCCTCTCTTTGCAGGTAGCTCTTGCGGAGTCGGGCTGTCGTGGATTGGTGAAGAGTTGGCATAAGGAAGGAGCAGGCGCATCTTGCTCTGCATGCAGCTAAGGACAAGATGAGGAAGCAAGCTTCTGGGCAGAACAGGGTGCTTGTTTCTTTTTGTCGTGTGTCCTTTTCTGCTTGCTGCCATGGGCCCAGGCACTGGCAGTCGGGTAGGCTGCAAAATCTGCGACTTTTTTCAGCGACCTACTGGCAAATCCAGTATGGCTAGCTCAATGGCTCCACAGGCAAAGCTCCAATGCGAGCGATACCGGCCCCGGGCAACCTGAATCGGCCAAGACCCTGTGCCAAGTCCGTCAGCGGAGGCCGTAAAACACAGAAGGGCTGTTGTGCACGCTTGCGCCTGTGCCTGTCCAGGGCTTGGCCAGAGTTTTCGATATGATCTTGGATAGGTTAGTGTGGCTGTTGATGTAGGTCTTCCACTGTCCTAGCATGAGCGAAGGAGCCTATGCTGAAACAACGAGGCAAGTTGTAGATAGTTCTGAAGCGATGCGGTAACGGGACTCCTTCGCCCTTAGCCTGAACTTGCCCAGCTGAAATGGCTGAAAACTAGATGCTGGTCAGCTGGGCTTCAGGACTGGCGAACTCATCCGTGAGCTATTCAAGCTAGCCGGCCCAGTTTGGCGTCGATGCTAAACGGCAATCCTCAGCCCGGTGTCGAGCGTATCACCGTGTCGAGCCTTCCCTGACATGAGCCGACAGGTTCAGGGCAGGGAAAGCTTCACTGCAACGCTTTGGGCCGCAGCTCCTTGGTGCCAAGGAATCTTCACAGCGAGGCATTGTTCAAGCTGACGCTGTCTGCAGGAAGCTGTGCACGAGGGCTTCTCGACGGTTCGGCTTCCAAAGCACCCGTCGGGGACGCCCAAGAGTCTTAACCCAACAAGTCTCGCGTTGCCCCACATCGTAGATTCAAGAAGAATTCGCACGCACATATGCTCAAAAGGCAGTATAGCCCTTCGATGTGGGTTTGTCCTTTCGTTTGCTGGCCAGTATGCACTCGCTGCTGAGAGCTGTTCTGGATGTTGCTGCTTGCTTAGCAAAGAGTTGCGACAGGCAATGCTGGCGTCGATCCCGAGAATCCCTCAGTCGGTCAGACAAGACTGAGAACTGAGAAGGAACTTGAAGAGAGGAGACCTGTGAGATGTGCCTTGGCAAGGCTGGAGTTCAAGAGGCGCCTCGTCCAACGGTTGCCTGCTGCCTCTTGCTCGGTGTGCTGCCAATGTACAACAGGCTGCCACGCATCTGATGTGCTAAGGTAGACCGTTCAGTTCCGGCATCTCTCTCATCTGCGGAGACGAATCTAGACAGTTCTGATGGTGTCAGCGGCAGCACCGGTGAAGGTCTCCCTTCTGGCCGCTGTTCTGTCGCTGAACAAGCCGAACACAGCACAGACCCTGAGGCGCATCTAGACAGACTCGCGACTGCGCTGGGTTGGTGCGCCTTCCTTGTGATTCAGGTTGGTGGCGTGCGACCTGTCTCAGCTACAGCGCATTAGGCTCAGATTTGGTGACGAGTGTATTTTCTGTGCAACGGGCAGGGTCAGCTGCTTGCAGCATGTGATTCATCTTGCAGTCGAGGGATGACCTTTGCTGTGGAGGTCTCTTGCAGTCCCGTGATCCGCTTCCATGCCCCTGGCTTGGTGTCAACACACGCGAGACCAGTCGTAGAGGACTATGGAGGAGGTCATGTCGGAGTCGAATTAGAGGCTTGGCCCATTCTGGCGAGCTACTTCGACATCTCTGCGAGGCTGTTGGCTTGGAAAGCGCCGCGATGATTTGCTAAATATCGATTCCGATATTTTTGGTTGCAGGCATACTTCCTGGGTCATCTGACGCCTCTGCAGCTTCAGAGGGAGGACGAGGCGCATGTGCACTCTAGGCATGCCAGCATCGCCCACTTCCCTGAGCACAAGCTGCAGGAGTTACTGGTAGCCTTTGGTCGCCTTGCCCGTGATCCTGCTTCCGAAGTTGATCTCACGGCCTGTTGCTAAGCCATCGTCCGAGTCCTTGCAATCGCCGGGTGTAGTGTTGCTCGGACCTATGCCCTCGTCGTCTCGTTGCTATGAGCCGCTGCAAGCAAAGGGGCCCCTGTGTCTGTTGAGGCCAACCTGGCGGCACTTGCAGCCAAGCGAATTGCCGGTGAGGCTTGGATGGTTCTGACAATGTCGAACTGATGGACACTCCCGAAATGGTGTCCAATGATGTCGGATCAGATCACAAGGTGGCCAAGACGTTGGGAGAAGGCGGCTGGCCTCAGGAAAGGCGCTGTGATTGTGTCCGTGCAACCAGTTGCACCCAGCCGGGTCTGACCGAGGTCTTGGCAAGGAGGTCAAGGCTTGTCTCCGCAAGATCGATCATGATGGGCAGGCTTCACTGCTGGCTTTCCACGGCGTGATGAAGCTTACATCGATCCTCAAGCCGAGGAATGGTGCGCCTGGCTGCCCGCATTTCATCACACGCACAGTGATCCCACGGCCGGCGGCCAAGGGACGCAAAAGTCGCAAATCGAAGCCCTGCTGGCTGTTATGCTTTGTAGAGCTCTTTCTGCTTCGTAACCGTCAGCTCACAGGTCTTAGGAAAGTGTCTAAGGTCTTCAAGTCGGCCGGCCCCGTGCGTTTCCCAGCCGCTTGCACATCTTCTGAAACTGCACCTCTGCTGGAGTTCCACTGAGACGAGGATGTGGACATGCTTCTCCAGCTGAGCACCAGCTGGAGATATCCAGTTGAGGCAGAATGTCAGTAGCTTATCGTTCCGATTCTTCGATGGCAGCCGGCAAGGCTTTTTCACTGAGCTTGAGGTGGGGAGCTGGTCGTTCGGGCAGGCCTCTGCAAGACATGGTCTGTACCTTACGATTCTGCGGATTTTGCTGTCCACATGACACGTATCTCCCTGAAACGTCAAGGACTGGAGAAGTTGGGACGGGCCTCTGGCAGTTGGAGGCTGATTGGATTTCTTCGTGCTGTGTTGCTCTAGGACAGCTTCTGCGGCCGCAATACCCCCTGTACACATTCGTGCCTGTAGGCACAGATCTTCCACAGATGGCAGGTACAGGACCCTTGAAAAATGGCAGGCACATGACACCAGGAGTCCGTAGAATCTTGTGAAAGTTGCTTCATGGGCTTGGCCCCAGAACTCTGGAAAATCTGTTGACTTGCTTTGCTCTCCACCTGAGCTGACGTTCCTTGAGGAGTTTCATTGCGAACTGCTTGGGGTCGGGCCGGTACCTTCCTCAGTCGAGCCACCACCACGTTAGAGGTTGGAACCAGCTGTGATTGAGGCCGAGAGAGCTTTCCAGCGCAGCCCTCAGCCGCAGCTCAGTCATCTCGAAACCTCGAAACCGCTGTGTCAGCGTCTCAGGCTAGAGAAGCCAATCGAGCTGCCTGTGCAGCTCGTTAGCCCTGTGTGAGGGCCCTGAAAAGACCGACGCAACATGTGCTTCTGCAACTCGCCGTGACCGCTCGCTTCCAAGGCCCAATCCGGCAGATGTTTACTTGCACATCTGCTTCTTTGAGACCTTCATGTCGCCGACTGAGCTGGAAGCTGAACCATCCTGCACTCAGAACCACGCGCCCTAGCCAGGGGTATGCTGGCAGGTCCTCTTATTCTGCATGGGGACCTTGGAGCAGCACTTGGCTGCTAATGACTCAGACAGCTAGCCAGCTCGGAATTGCGATCGCAGGCAGTAGGTTTTTGGAAACGCGGGCCGCTTCGGGGACTCAAATCGCGGGGTCTGCAATCAATTTGAAGCTGACGCCAAGTCTATTCACTTGTTGGCAGCGGGTAGGTGGAATGTTTCTTCGTCTGACCCATGGATGTAGGCAGCCTCGCCAAGGCCTCTGTCAGCTATGGCCCAGCCCGAAGCTCATCTCCAGACGGCCCTCGAGGCATGGCATTGAGGAAGCTTCGCAGGAAGCTGCTCTCTTTGCACTGCCAGGTGGCTGATGGAAGAGGCATTGCAGAAGTGGAGCCAAGGTGCCAGCATGTACCAGCGAGGGAGGGCGGGCGATAACAGCAAAGTTTGAGGGCAGCAACTAGTTTTGCAGGGCTGCAACAACAAAGTATCAGCGTCACTAGCGCTCGTCTGCATATTCAGCCAGTGACTGCTCGGTGCTGCGAGGCTACATGTTTGCTCCACATGGCAATACCCCTTGCTGTACAACGGGTCCAAGGCCTGGCTGGCCGAAATGCAGCAGCCGAGTCGTTAGGAGACGGTTCACAAGCAACCCACTTTGTAAGCTGCTTGTTTTTGCTTGTGCCCGAGCCGGCTCCAGACTTGTCGCTGCTCTTGATGCGTCGCCAGCCGCAGCGTGGACGTGGCCTTTTGAAATTGGCCAGCTTGACGATGCCCGATCCTAAGCTCTGCGCGTCAGCAGTCCAGAAGTTCATGGAGCCTAGCGGAGGCAATGCTAGCCAGCCGATCATCAAGCCCGGTGACATCTCATGAATCCCTCTATAGCCTTTCTCCACCAGCTCCAGCCGTCTATCCACCCCCCCTCCTCGTAGCTGTGTCAAAGTGGTGCATCTGTCCTTGCAGGAAGGGGGTCGAGGCTCCTCGCCAAGTACGTGTGGACGGCTCGGATTGTAGGGAGGATTGAAGGAAGTCTCGGATCGATAGCTGCGGTCGGATCCGGGGCATGTTGCATTGTCATTCCAGAGTACAGCAGGTCCAGAAGATTTACTGATGCTCCCCTTGACTCATGTGCGGCCCTTTCCTGCTCAAGGTGTCCGTAGGCGCTCACCGGGGCTTGGGTGGCAATGTCCTCAGGCTCTGGCTCAGAGCAGTACAGTGGAAGCAACCATGGCGACTCCATGCAGGAGTCGGGAATGTCAGGAATCACAGACAGGTACGGGTCCAACATAATGGATGAGCCCGGTGATCAAGATGAAGTGGGGGGCGCAGCTTCAAAAGAGGCATCCTTCGAAGAGAAGGAAGCGGCGGGCACGTCTGAACTGAACAAGTACCTCTCCGTGTATGATCAGACCTTTGACAAAATCCAAATTCCTCCCGATGTGGTGGAAGAGGTGCAAGCGTGTTTGCGCCTCGCTGGCAGTGAGCTCACGAGTTTCTGCTGTGCTGTCTTAGCTTCAGAAGGGCTCAGTCCAGGTACTGCCAGCAGGGACCTCGGAAGTCTCTGCACCCTTAGCTTTTGAAAGGAATCAAGGACGACAGCCCAACAATCCTAGTCCTAGCTTCGTCTGAGCAGAAGAACATGCAACGAGCCGTTCTGTATGGTACAACCTGCAAACCCCAACTGGGCAAGTCATGCCCCACTTCTCTGCCGCGTTAGCCCACGCCAAAACCTGGAGATCTTTGGGTGCCAGAGGGGCCCACACAACCAGGATGTCTGTGATTGAGGGATCTCTACTCTGTCAGGGCAGCCTTCATCGCCGTGATGGGCAGCAAAGAAGCAGCGGGCGAGGCGATTTACTCGGCAGTTTTCGAAGCCGCACCCAGCCTTCAGGTGCTGCTTCTTGGCGAAGGCAATTCTCCCACGACAAGCCGCCATGTGCTGACATGCTGTTTTGTACCGAGGTTCAAGACTCCGAGATCTGTGATTGCGCTGCGCTTTGCGAACGCCTTGGCTGCGCTGGTAAATACCGCCGGCAAGCCTGGGCAGCTCAAAACGCAAGTGGAGACCATAGGCTTCCAGCACCTGGACATTGACACTTGGTGGCAGAGTTGAAGAAGAGGACACGACTATGTGTGCTGTTTGGCCAATAGAGCAAACCATATGCCTTAAATTCCGACCATGGCTTTATGTCACGGCCGATGTGGCTTCAGGAAAAAAGAAGTCTTGCCAAGCTCAGGAAGTCAGCAGTCCACGTGTGGACATTTTCCGTGAAGCTATCCTGGAACTTTTTGACCAGGACGGACGTAATGTCAGGAAGTCTCTAGAGACCTAGTAACTTAGCACTTGTAGCAGTGACTGCAGTGGCAGAGCGAGCAGTGTTTGTACATCGTAGAACCTGCATATGCGTGCATGCGTGACGAGCACGAGATCCCATGTTTTGCTTGCTGTCAGGAGCTCGGCCCAAGACTGACCGATCAAGCCAGATTCGGCTTCCAGCTGTTGCTTAACTATACGGGAGGAGCCCTCATTTACATCAGACGAGAGTCGCTTGGCAGTCAAGGAGATGACGGAAATCTGTCGTTAGGGTGACACAGCCAGTTGTTGGGTTTACCGTATCTGGTCCGCAGCTAGGTGCCGCTATCAGAGCTGAGGTATGCCAGCAGAATTCGGATCATCCAGACGAGCTGGAAGTCTGCCAACAAAAAGGCGGCAGGAATTTCAGACGTGGCAGAACCTGGAGAGATGAAGACCCCTTCGGGTAGGATGAAAGGCAAGTCAGGCGAAATGGGAGATGACAATGATTCACTTATTGGAGATGCAGATGGGGAGGGCGTGGCCATCACAAAACAGACCGATGGAATGATGGTTCCCAGCTCATTCAACGACATGTTTTTGTTCAACGCAGCTGTCATGGGCTTGACGAACCATGACTGGATGACATTGATCCTGGACCAGCTTGATGCCATCGCGAACAATGTGGCCAACCCCTACCGTCTGCAGGAGGAATGCGACGTCCTTGCATTGGTGCTGTCGAAATACCAGGGCGCCTGCCTCGGTTGTTTCCGCGCAGTTTGTCAAAGCTGTAGGCACCCGTTTTGCAGGCACTTTCGTGCTGTCGGAGTTCAAAGCCGTTGTCCTGGCATCTTTGCGGTCCTTAGTATCCACTGAATGGGATTCCGATCACGAAGTGGCTCAGCTTTGGGTTTTCGGGCTCATGAGTGCGATGTTTCTGTAACTCGCAGGGCAACTGTTACGGTGCCTTAGCGCCTAACTGCGAAAGCGCTTTGAAGGTGGCTTGGAATTGGCTTTGGCAGACACTTGCTCCGCAAAGGTTGTAGCTTGTTTCGTCGCGGCAGCCTGCATAATTTTGACCCCGCTGCAGTGCAGCCTAGGAACGTGGAGCGATTGCTGAAACAAGTTCTTGGCAAGCCTCCGGCCCCTCATCTGCGCGGCAGCAATTGCGTGAAAAGCAACGTCGTCTGTTTGCTGTCGTCTGTTTCTGTTGATTTTCCACGCGAAGCCTCCGCCCAGGTTCATGAAAAGGCACTTTCGGATTTGTTTATGAGCCTTCCCGAAGCCTCGATGGCATCCATTCGGCAAGAATTTTTCTTGCACTTCTTCAAAATGGCACCGGCTGGCTCTGACTTCTTTAAGCAATCGTCGACGAGACTGTACTTCATCGCAGACAAGATTATAGAACTTACCTTGGAGATGTATCGGCAGCCGCGCGCGATGGTTGAGGACATCTCAGGGCTTGGCCTCCGCCACGTTGGATATTCGATTCCCTCCGAACTCTTCTCTCCCTTCGTGACATCCGCTGTGGATGTGTTTCGGGAAATCACCACAAGCGAGACGGCCATAGCAGGGTTCCAGTGGTCCCTCACTCTGGTCTCCAAGATCCTGGTAAGGGCAATCTCAGAAGGATCCACGGTTGTGATGAAGGCCATCAGCACGAATGACGAGGTTAGCCTGAAGAAGGGCATGGCCTTGTCGCCTCGGGGCAAGAGGGCCCAGGATCTCCTCAACATTTCCGTGGGTGCCCAATCAATCTCGCCCTTCTATTGGTCCATAAAGAGTGGAAACTTTAATAGCGCAAAAGCCATACTGGACGACTTGCTGACGATTCGAGCTGATCGCGATGTATACTACTTCGCGTGTGACGACCTCTTTACTCGGCATCCTGATGTCGTGCAGTTCCTGATCACTGATGTGCCGGTGCTACTTCGTCCACTTTTCAGCGGCCTTGTCTGGAGATCTCGGTGGATCAACAGAGGTCGCCTGGTGGCCTGAGTTGCATGGCGGAAGATCATTTGCAGTTTGCTGCTACCGAGGCACCAGGCGAGTCAATTACTACGTCAAGCACCTGGTTCAGGACTTGGAAGGGAACCCGAATGAGACACTCAGTTGGCTGGAAGAGCACGGCGATCCCGACATCATCAGCGACTAGCCTGCCAAGTAGAGACTCGTGTGTGCAACAGCGGCGGCCGTCGTGCACAGCTCCCAGTGCCAAGCCCCACCAATCTCAGGCCATCCTGCCGTGGTTTTCTTTTCAGATATTCTCTGGGACGGCATCAGCAAGTTCCATTTTCTGCGGGGTAGAATCCACTTCCTTATCTCCTTCATCGTTTTCTTGGCAGCTTGGTTAGCTTGAGCCTGTATGCTTCCATGATGGTAATCGCGTTGCTTTGTTGGAACTGGTGATCTGGGGCCCAGAAGTATATCGGGCCGCACATTGCCAGAGCCTGGTGTGACAAAGGTCGTTTCAGCAACATCCCACAACCACCCAGCAGCGTACTGTAAGGTGACATGATAGTTAATCTTGGAACATGTCAGGTCAGCCAGTCTGTTCTGTCAGCCGTGGATGATGCAGATCGATCTGAAGCCCTGCGAATAGCACTTTTCTCCTGCCGCATCTTTATCTATGTATTCTGCATGATGAAAATGGTCCTCGACCAGATCCGAATGCTCTGCGCAGACTGTAGAGGAGGCTACGTGGAGCGGTATTGTCGGATACCAATCCCGCATTACTTGCAGGAATGGCAGGGCTTGGGGGGCTTGATCCTTCTTTGGCTCCTGCTCATTATGGCAACGCAAGAGCCTATATTCTGGTGCCTGGGTGGGGACGAGACCCTCTTCACGACAGCTTGTGCTGAAGGCTTGGCCCGCAGGCGGATGTATTCTGTGTTCTCCAGCCCCTTGCCAGAACTACTTGCATGGGTCCGCGCGTGTCGCGACAAAGTAGACAGACATCGCTGCCAGAGGGTCCATACTTTATGGAGGCACGGGGGAACGCCCTTCAAACCATAGGACCATGTCCCTTGCTAACTTGGGATTCCATTGCTTGAAAGAATCAGAACTTCCACACTCCTTCATCGGATTGGAAACGCCTGACTCACTCCAAGAACAGATCGTATCACACCACACGATGCCGGTGTTTGGGATGGCAATGAAGCTGAGTTGCGCTTTCATCTTCCCCCCCGCAGAAAGACTCAGACGTCATGGCATCAAAAGGACCCCAGAGGCCCACTTCTGGAATTACCTGGAAACGGGCATTCATTTTGGTGGGGTTCGGTTACAGCTGTAGCATGTGTGCACGGTCCTCGGGCAATGTAAGGCCCAAGAGCAGCACCTGCAGGGTGGGCAAGCAGGGCAGGAGGGCAGAGTACGGCAGAGCAGGAAATGGCATAGGGCCTGCCTTTGCAAGGTCAAAGAAGATGAAGTACAAGAGCATGTGAGAGCATTGCAACTTGTCCCTAGGTTTGGCAATGATTCTGTTCTGGGGCTTGCTCGTGAACCTCTCTGTCTTCTCAATGCGCCTTGGCTGTCTGGCTGCGCGAGCTGTCTTCGCACGCTTGCATTGAAAGCTCGCCCGAACTGACAGGCGTATTTCTGCATTCATCCTGGTATGTGGCCGAGTCCTCTCTGAGGTGCTCCGTGTTTCGTGCTGTAGGCCTCGCGTTGATCTCGTTTGACAGATTTCTGCATGCCTGCTT